TAACTCGCGAATTAATACAAAAGTTGGCCTGAGGCTGCTAAACAGTTTACAGATTGTGTACCTAATCAACCATACACTTCTAAGCTAAGTATTCTAATACTTAAGAATACTTACTAAAGGCTCGCAATTCACCTGTCATCGATTAGCGCAGAAGCAACTTCCATAAAGCGACGAGCAATCAATTTCTCAGTCAGGAATTAGTATGGTTAGTGTTTGACAAAATTTAATAAACTACCCTATTTGAATTTATTGTAGTATCACTGTAGTATCACATTAACTTCTCAACTGATTAAATTATTGTAATTGAAATCAAAAAGAAGAAAGCGATGTAAAAAACTTAAAAATTAAATGTTTGTAAATTAACATAATTATCACATCAACACCAATAAAAATAGCTTGTTTAAAGGCTTTTAGAAAACATTTGGTGCCTAGCATGGTTGACCATCAAGTCTGTAGTGATATTATGGGGAAAAGATTAAAGAAAAAGGATGCGATGCAAAGTTAATTTTAAATGAAAAAACGGCAAAGCAACATTTTCCCTCCTGCTTATGAATATTTGCAGCTAAACTGATAACCCGAATTAGACTTACAAACATTATTTTTAAAGCAAAATAGTTATTTCATATTCAGAATAATCTTTCTGATCCTATTGTTGTTTCAAATGGGCTCAGACAGGGTGATGCACTGGCCTGTTTGTTTTTTAACCTTGCCCTCCAAAAAATCATAAAAGATTCCAACATTAATACTCATGGAACTATCTTTAACAAGTCTGTCCAGATTTTTGCGTTTGCTGACGATATTGACATAGTCGCACGCACTACGAGTCACTTAGGCTTTTACATCTCTAGAGGCTGCAGCCAACAAAATGCATCTAGCAATCAGCCAAAATAAAACTAAATACATGCCATGTGGTAATAACAGCAGCCCCTATTTTGAAATTGGGAATTACAAATTTGAAACTGTTAGCAAATTTAAATGTTTAGGATCAGAAGTTAATACTCTCAATGATTTAATGCCCGAGATCCGTAGTAGAGTCACAGATGCTAACCGACGTTTTTTTGGTCTCAAAAAATACTTGAAGTCTAACTTCACTGGCAGAAAAACGAAGATTTTAATTTACAAAAGCTTAATCAGACCCATTCTTACATACTCTGCTGAGACCTCGGCAATGACAGGAAAAGCTAAAAGTATCATTTCTGTCTTTGAAAAAAGAATTTTGAGAAGTATTTTTGGTGGCATAAAATGTAACAATATCTGGAGAAGAAGATTTTACTCTGACTCTATAAATTATTTAAAGAAATAGATATAGGAAAATGTACAAGGATTCAGAGAATTAAATGGACAAGACACCTGTGCAGAATGGATGAAAATCGAGTAACTTAAAAGATCTTCTCCGCCAGACCATTCGGCATCTGGAAAAAGCGGGAGACCTAAACTTAGGTGGCTCGACTGTTTGGAAACAGACTTTTAAGAATTTTAAAAAATAACCACTTGGATTGTCCTTGGCCAGGGATAGAAGAGCTTGGAATTCGATTCTGAGGAAGGCAAGAGCCCATCCTGGTCTGTCTGGCCATTGAAAAAGAAGTTATTTCATAAACAAACATTATTTTTAAAGCAAAATAGTTATTTCATAATCTCTCTTCATGGTAGCCATGCTCATCTACACATACTCATGTAATTCATAAAGTAATGGATTACTTGCCCGCTTAATACTTGGAAATAAATTGTCTGGAGTAAGTTTGAACAACAAGCTTAACAGAGTAGCAACAAAAGAAATCACTTTTTTTTTTTTTCATAAGCAGGAGATTTGCATTTGTACAGAAATGTAAATGAGTTAGAGAGTATTTAAGCTTCAGCTGAGATTGTTTGGTTTGTAGGTCAAAACGTATTTCTGCCTCTTGAAGCCACTTTACTTAGTTTTTCCAGCTCTGATAAGTTTATATTGCTTACGTTATAGCTGCCGTCACTTCAATTGTTACGCCGGTCAGAAGTTCTGAGCTAACTTAGTTTTATATTAAATCGTGTAGACCTTTACGACTAGGTTAAGTTTCAAATTTGGAATCTGACTGTTACTTTAAGTTGCATGACAAGTGGTGATTGATCTTCTGAGCTCAATAAGTGCGGATATTTATTGGATAAAAAGGTTTGTTTTAGATCTTTTCAAGACTCTCTAACTCATTTGAGACAAGCATAATTCGCTTAACGTGTGTTAGGAGTTTAATACTAGTTTATGCTTCCCAAAGCAGTCAAACTCTGTATTCTAAATCTCTCCATTTATTCTTTAATCCTGAAGAAATGGCAGACTCAATTACAGCAACTGAAGCGTCGATTGATTAACAGAAGCGAATTTTTAGCTGTGGTCTCGAACGGTTGAGATTCCTCTCTTACGATGCAGTTGCCTCATCTTACTTACAAGCGAATTAAACTGGATTATAATGACTCGGAACACGATAAAAGCTTTCTTTCAAATTTTAATTTACATAAATTTTTATTATTAGTCCAAAGGGACTTTGTCCGTGAAGGACTATTGTTTTCGTTTTCGATTTTGCGTTGAATCATTATAAATGTCCTTTCACTTTTCAAACTGTTGCCACCAAATGTTAGAGTCCTGCATTATATTTGAAGAAATTAATGAAAAATCTGCATAAAAGTATGTATATTTCTCGCATTGTGATAAAACAACGGTACATAGACACATCGAATTTTGAAAGACGTAATCCCCCTGCGAATATGGGCATGTGGAAGACCAAATTAAATATTCGGAATTTGCTTTAATATCGATTTCATATTTTGTAAAACTTTAACTAATTTTTGATTAACAAGCTCAAAGATTTCAAAGCGAGCAATGGCAATGCTCTACGGGGGGGGGATCCTTTTTATCTCCAGCGCAAAGGAACTGTGTCTGGGAGATTCTAAAGATATGCTCATTTTAAAATTATTTTGCGACATTGCTATTGAACTGAATTTTATGGATTAATTGCAAAGAACATGATATTTAATAAATAAAGGTAACACACGAAACGTTAAAAAAACGCCCCTTTGGACGTAATTTAAAATCTTAAAGCTTTCAGAATTTTTTTTTAAATATTTAAAGGCTCTATATATAAACTAAAATGATTAAAATTTAAAACATTAGTGGCATGGGAAGAAGAAATGAGGCTTGACGAAAAGGATAATCTTGTTTTCGCTATTATAATTTAAAACCTTTCGTAGTGCTCTTGTCGTAACAGCCACATGTAGCACTATTGAGATGAGTATTAAGTTATTAAGTGAGTTAATTAAGTAAACCTTGCCCAAAAAAAATAAATGGGTCAGTTGGTATATCTATCGTACTGGACCGATTGTCAAAATTTAACTTGGCTTTCTATGTGTCGAAACGCGACTTAGGATGTATACTAGATTTATATATAGCATTATTCTAACATAGGTATTTTGACAATTGGACTTTTTCTGAAATAACATACCAATTTTTCCCCATATTTCGATTCTACGACTCAAATTATGCCTAGATATTAAATTTTGTAAATTTTGGTGAGAAATTTAAAAATTTATCTTGGCCCATTTTGTTTCAGCTTGCGCCAAGAATAATTCACTTGGCGAACTTCTTAATTTATAGCAACCTATTTTTTCTGTCCTTTTCCATTGTAATGAAAGGAAAAAAGGTCGTTTGACGTTATCGCTTGTAACTAATATGCCAAACTTCAAAACGCGTCAAAATGTAAATTCACGTATATCTCAGGAAATTTTGGATTAAAAAAATAATTTTTTGCAGGTATACTTATAAATACATCTACTTTAAGAAGAGGGTAAAAACTTTATTGGTTGTAATTCAAAATATTTTTCGAAAAATTTATAAAAATTATTTAAAACACAAATTTTTAAAATAAATCATAAAAATGGGCGATTTTTATATGGAATGAACCTAAATTTCGAAATGTGAACGAAAAAATCAAATAAGTTTAATAAAAAAGGAGATTTTAATAAATATTTACCAGATTCAATTAACACGGAGGAACTAAAATTTGGAGAGCTAATTTTTTAATAACTACTCGTGTGATTTTTACAAAACTTGACACTTTGTCATAATTTGAGTAGTAGAATAGTAATATGAGAAAAAATAGTATGTTATTTCAGAAAAAGTCCGATTTTATGTTAAAACACCTATATGAGAACAATGCTATATATAAATATAATACATAGCCTAAATCGCGCTTTCAATACATGAATAAAGCAAGTTGAATTTCGTGAATCGGGCCAATAGATCGGGAGATATAGAACTGCTTGCTAGCAATGCTTGCTAGCAATTGCAACTGTATTTATAACTGTAACTTTATAATCCACTTAAGTAATCTTTTATTGTATCATAGATAGTTATTGCCTTGAAATAATCCAGAAAAATCAAGTCACACGAATTTCATGTGGAAGATAGATTAACAAATTCTTTTGGAAACTTCACATCAGATTAATAATAATAAGAATCAAACAATAGTTACAAATAATGAAGTGGAAGTAATGTTAGTTTGAGAAACATAACAGTTAAAAGCAATATAATAATGACACAATAAAACAGCAAATTTCTCCGCTATTATAAGGCGAACACCTACAAGCACATTACTTCACAAATTAAAGTAAATTTATCTACTTACTATAACCACTTGAAAAGTAAATTTCGTGGTGGAACGTAAAATATCATTTTACTGATATGAATGTAAAATTTAATAATATGTCTAATTATTCAAGCGTTAGAAATTCGATAGACTTATCGAAGATATATCTATTTATAGATTTTATAATTAATAAGTTTGATCTTTAAATTAAAAAATATATCTACTTTTAATCAACATAAATAATTAACTAAACAACTGCTAAGAGGACTGTGTATTAATTATGCAAATGAACACGAAATACTGACAGAATTATGTCCTGAAAACTCTGACCCTGATTCCGTGTTATCAGAAAATTATATTGGCATACAAATAAAATATTTAAAAGGTACTTACTTGGATTTCTTTGTTGTGGTGTTGAGACTATAATAAATTGAAGTGGAATATTGTCGAGAATAACACCCTTTATATAACAATGATCGAATTACATTGGCGAAAGACTCTGACGTCACCTTGAGCAGGATTAAAAAATAATTTACTGCAAAATTTATTTCATTCTTTCACATTTTGAACTTCAGAAGGTTGACATAATATTAAAAATCTGAAATTCAATCAATATGTAAATCCTTTCAGCTCTGGGTTGATTGCTTTTCATTCCCCAAAGACGAACGATTTCAGTTACCTATTAAAAGAGTTCTAAAGTTAGATGCATCATATTTGCTTCCTATTCGAGGTTTGTAAAGAAGTTAAAAATGGAATCTTATCTGAACTGTTATTTCTTTAGCGGATTAAATATAAAAGTATACATAGTTACAAAATAATTAATTGGCAGTGGAACTTCCTTATTCTATTTGCTTATTTACTTTATTTTGCGCTTTGAAAACAACCGAAGAAAATAAGCTCAATAGTTTTATGATACTTTGCTTTAAAAAAAAAAATATTAATTTATTACGCTTTCATGGGAATAGTTTTTATAATACCCATTTGCAAACGTCTTCCCGAAATTACTTCGTCTTTTTATTTCAAAATGTACAGTGTCATTCAGAAAGTAAAAATAACTTAATATCTTGGATTCTTTGAAACGTTTTCAACACTTTTAAGTATCAGATTTTAGAATTTCTACAAAATAATGCTTCTGATTTTGACGGCACGTTTCTTTAAATTTTTAGCTTTTGTTTAATTTTATGGATCTAGTCGACAAGTACAACTCTTCGGTCTTATAGTATATGTATAGCCTGAGTGTTAAAACTTAAGACGGGCATTTTTAAATCTCCTTTAACGAATATATCATCTCGTTTTGCTGTACAAGAAAATTAATAATGTGGCTAAAAAAAAAAAAAAAAAAAAAAAAAAAAATTCTGAAAGCTTTCAGATTTTACATTACGCCTAAAGGAGCGTTTTTTTTTTTTTTTTTTTTTTTTTTTTTTTTTTTTTTGGGTTACCATTATTTGTTAAATATCATGTTCTTCGCACTTAAACCATAAAATTCAGTTCAACAATATCACAAAATAATTTTACAATGAGCATATATTTAGAATTTCCGATACGCAGTCTCGCTCTTTAGAGGGGAAAAAAAATTATTTTCGTACAGTTCTGCCGTTGCTCGCTTTGAAATCATCGAGTTTATTAATAAAAAATTCGAAAGAATTCGAAATGAAGTTTTACAAAATATGAAACAGATAATAAAACAAATTTCAAATTTAGGCTTTCATTTGCCCATATTCGGGTGGAAACGTACATTATTCGAAATTGGATGGCTCTAGGTACTGTGGTTTTATCAAAATGCAAGAAACATTCATACATTTATGCAGATTCTTCATTATTTAATTTCTTTAAATGTAATACAGGGCTGTAATATTTGGTGGCAACAGTTTAAAATGTGAATCGACATTTAGAATTTTCAACGAAAAATACCAAAACGAAATTAATAGCCCTTCAGGGCTAACGCCCTTTGTGCTAAAAAGTGCTGTGATATCTTAAATCTAATAATAAGAGTTGTATGTAATGATGTTATATTAAAATAACTTTCGTTTACGTTATTTTTCGTTTCGTTTACTTTATTATGTTATTTGCGAAACTGCATATAACGTTTTGTCAAATTATTCTAAAAACATTAACCAGCAATACAAAAGCAGTTTATAAAATCTCGGAATACTTTTCTTTACAGGATAAATTAAAATTTACAGAAAATTCTTTGCTGTGCTTTTTTTGCTTTGAAAATACAGTGGGTCCCAAAAGTATCCGTACACTTATGATTTTCATCGAAATAGGGCTCTATCCATTAATTAAAAGTGAATCTCCTGAATGAGATTTTAATAATAAGATCTATAATCTATTCGTAACAAAATTACATGAAATATTTTTAAAATATAGCGAAACTTTATTTTTAAGAAATTAATAATAAAAAAATTGCAAACATTTTATCTCACAAAAGTCTTCGTACACTGAAATATTTTTGGATAAAATCAAAATTAGAATTATCGTTTGCCTCGTTTTTTTTTTATTTTTGCATTGTGGTGGCATTTAAAAAATCGTTTGCTTTAATTTTTTACTGTTTACTTCATAATATTCTATTTATTATTGAAAAATGGGTCGCAGTCGTAAAGAAATTACAAATAGCATTCGAGAATGGATAAATTTTCCCATAATAGAGGTAAATCAATTCGCAATATCGCTAAATTAATTAATTTATCCCATTCTACAGTGCAGTATGTGATAAAATGCTTTATAGAAGAAAATCGGATTGAAAAGAAGGTAAGAAAATGTCGACCGAGAAAGTTGACTAAACGTGTTGAGAGATTTATTATTAGAAAATTTGTGAAAAACCCACGTTTGAGTGCTGTAAAAGTTTCTGCAGAATTTAATGCAAAGTTTCCTACTTCAATTTCACCTGAAACAGTTTGACGAGTTCTCAGAGAAGCTGGATTACATGAGCGTTCTGCACGTAAAACGTTTTTTGTTAGTGAGAAAAACAGAAAGCTTAAGCTTTCATTCGCAATATCAATGATAAATACAACCGAAACGTACTGGAATAATGTCCTATTTGCTGATGAAAGCAAATTTAACATTTTTCGTTCCTTTGGTCGAATAACTGTATGAAGAAGAAAATATGAGGAACTTCATTCTAAGAATTTACTAGTTGGAACAGTTAAGCATAGCGGTGGAGGTGTTCTTGTGTGGGGTGCATGGCAGCGTCAGGACTAGGTAATTTGGTATTTATTGATGGCATAATGAATCATTCTCTTTATTAAAATATTTTAAGAGACAATTTAAAATTATCAGCTTAAAATTTCGGTATAGGAAACAACTTTCTTTTTAATTATGATAACGATCCTAAGCATACGGCTCTCAACGTTCACCTGTGGTGTCTCCGTAATTGTCCACAGGTTTTGAAAACACCACCTCAGTCGCCAAATTTAAACTACATAGGACACATTTGGAAAGAACTGGAGGTTAAAGTACGAAAACATGACATCAAGACGAAACGTGAACTCAAAACAGTCATGATAGAGAAGTCATGATGAACATTGATACAGAAATTATAAAAAAAATAGTAAAATCTATTCCCAGACGTTTAAAACCTGTGGATGCTGAGGGATATGCTACTAAATATTAATTAAACGAAAAATGAAAATATTTACTAATATGTCAAGATTTTTTTGAAGTGTACGAAGACTTTTGTGAGATAAAATGTTTTCTATTTTTTTATTAGTCCAAAGGGGCTTTGTCCCTGAAGGACTATTGTTTTCGTTTTGCGATTTTGCGTCGGACTCATAAACGTCGGTTCACTTTTCAAACTGTTGCCACAAAATGTTAGAGTCCTGCCATTATATTTGAAGAAATTAAATATGAAAAATCTGCATAAATGATGTCTGTTTCTCGCAATTGTGATAAAACAATGGTACATAGAGCCATCGAATTTTGAATGACGAAATCCTACTGCGAATATGGGCATCTGAAATCCCAAATTTGGAATTTGTTTTATTATAGATTTTATATTTTGTAAAACTTTAACGAATTTTTGATTTACAAACTCAATGCTTTAAAAGCGAGAAATGGCAACGTTATATAGAAAAAAAAATACTTTTATCTCCAGCTCGCGAGACTGTGTATATCGGAAATTCTAAAGATATGCTTAATTTAACATTATTTTGCGATATTGCTCTTGAACTGAATTTTATGGTTTATGTGCAAGAAAACATAATATTTAATAAATAAAGGTAACACTCAAAACGTTAAAAAAAAACGCCCTTTTGGACGTAATTTAAAATCTGAAACATTTCAGATTTTTTTTTATTATTAATTTTTTTAAAATAATGTTTTGCTATATTTCAAAAATATTTCGTGTAATTTTGTTGCGAATAGATTATAGATCTTATTATTAAAATCTCATCCAGAAAGTTTACTTTTAATTAATGGATAGAGCCCTATTTCAATGAAAATCATAAGAGTATGAACACTTTTGTGGGAGCCACTGTATAGAAAACTGAAACATCTTTTGATTCTATGTAATTTTTTTTTTCTGTAAATAAATTACAACTGAGAGCATTGGTGATAAATCTTGTCACGGAATGAAAAAGAAACGTCAACTAAAGTCAGGATGCTAGTTACTTTTTATCAAAACATTGAAGGTCTATTGAAGAAATTACTAAAAACGGGAATTTGCTGCATTCTACTGCTGTTTCAATGTTACGAGTGTAAAATGGCTTAAAGAAGAAAACAAAACTCTGAAGAATCAAAGAAGTGGTATTTATGGAAATTTATCTGCAGAACAGCATTTTATAATTAGAAAATTTCAAGAAAATCACTTAGAAAGCTTGGAAAATTTTGTGAAAAATTTAATAAAAGATTTGACGCATAAGATTCTTGTGAAACTATAAAAGGAGTGGTTAGATCAGCTAAATATCATGGTCATTTTTCAAAAAGAAAAATGTTCGTAAATCAGGATGTATCGAAAACATAATTACTAGGGCGGTTATTCACAAAATGAATTATAAAAGACCTTTACCATCAATGCAGTCATCACTCACGTATATGGCTTTCAGAGACAAATGGAAAAAAAAGCATGTAAATTATAAGGACACACTCTTACTATAACACTTTTTTTCTAAACACTAGGTACACTGAGGAAAAAAAGATAGTTTTATATCTCCCGTTCTACTGGGCCGACTGACGAAATTCAAATTGCGTTTTTCATGTCTCGAAAGCGCGACTTAGAATATATATTAAATTTATATAAAGCCTTTCTCTAATATAGGTATTTTGACATAAAATCGAACTTTTTCTGAATTGACATGCCAATTTTTTTTTCATATTTTAGTTCTACGACTCAAATTATGCCTATATATTAAATTTTATAGAAGTAGCAGTAACTATAGTAGTAACGGAGGACGTGGGCACCATCCCTCTACCATTACGGTTAATCGGTTCTGCCCACGTCCGCCCTTGCCTAGTATTTATTAATAATTCTAAAATGTTTACATTGCCATATATTGTAGCTGATTTACACAGTTTATACAATAATTGTATTCATATTATTAACATAACTTGTTACATAAATTTTGATTGGAGAATTTTCTCTAATGAATTTCTTTCTTTTGTAATTTCTCTTTGTTTTAAACAATCTATATATTATTTCGTTATCGTGAAGTTTCT